CATACATTGCCGCCCCCCCCCCCAAAATAAAAACCTGCCTACCCCCCCCCCTACCGCTGTATTAGTTAGATATCAACTATATAAGTTATGTATACAGTATATAAGTTGCATATGTTGTGTAACGTGACACACAATGCACAAACTTGCCGTTGCATTACGGTCGCGTTTAGGCAGCATCCGAGAGCTCTAGCCATCTGGTGGCGATACTTGGAACCACTGGTAACATGCTGCAGCGCCAGCTCGGCTAGCGACGAGTCGCCGTGTCTTACCGCCGCGCACGAGACGTATTGCTCGTAGTTGACATCTATGCTGCGGATGAGAATGTAAGCTATGAGATGTTACTTAATACAAATGCAGTAGCTTTTTATTGGATACACTAACAAACACGAGGGTCGTGAGAACTATGTTATACTAATCCTATACGCGTACATAGGTTGTACTCATCTCCAAATCATCTTCATCTCTCGTTCACTTCACACCATATCTCCCTCGCCTCGCGCTCTTTCTTCCTCTCTTCTCTCCTCCTCGCTCCTTCCTCTTCTCGCTCCCTCCTCATTCCTTCCTCCTCTCTCTGCTCTCCTTCTTTCTCCTAATTTTCCTCGCCTTTCTCCTCTCCTCGCCATCTTCGTTTCAATCCCCGGCCCCCTGTCTCCGCTACCTCATTTGTCCTGGCTGCAATGGCTGCATATTCACCTGTTAGTGTGGTTCGTTGCCCAAACGGTGAACAGCGACTCGGCACTATCCACGCATTGTGTGAGATTACTGCCACAGGCCACATCCACAGCAACGGATCGCTTCAATCTGGGATATAACGAAGAGAGAGAGAAACATCCCACGTTGATTTATGTTGGGCAACACACAGAGAGACACGCGCGCACGCACACACGCACGCACGCACACACACACACGCACGCATGCACGCACGCACGCGCGTATACACGCACTCACTCACTCACTCAGTAAGCAGAGATGCAAAAACACGCACACGAACAAACAAACAAACAAACAAACAAACAAACGAACGAACGAACTAACAAAGAAACAAAGAAGCAAGCAAGCAAGCAAGCAAGCTAGCGCACGCATGCACACGCACTTGCGTATGCAAGCAAACAACATACTAAGCCGCGCTTCACTTACATTGTCATATCACTATCGCGGTGTGTCATATTCAAACCGCTCACACTGTCATAGAACCGGCCCACCTTTACTCGCATATACGCCTACAGGTAAAGCAAGAGTTATGCTTAAGCTCTGCTCTGCTGAAACGTTATTTTTTTATTAATCGTAACCGTCAAAACGGAAATATTTAAGCGCACACACGCTCGAACACAAACACACACACACGCACGTACACGGTCGCACACACGCACATACCTACGCACATATACACGATTACGCACGCACGCACGAACGCACACACGTATGCACGCACGTACATTATTTGTGTAGCTGTTATGACTCACCATAAGTTCTGCGTATACATCCCGGCTGCTCAGCATTAGATCTATGTAGTAAAGAGCTGACTGGGTGAAATACCACGTGATATATTCCGTTTCTTTTTCTAGGAAATCCGTTGATATAAGTATGTTGACCTGATCCATCAGACCCGTTCTGTGAAAACATGAAATGATACCATAGAAAATCATCAGGTTCCAGTAGTAATTACTCTAGACGTGAGGAATATAATGCGCTGCATGGTGATGCTCGCACGCACATACACACACACACACACACACACACACACACACACACACACACACACACACACACACACACACACACACACAACAACACAACAACAACAACA